GCCATTACCACCCTAGTTCAAGCCCTGTGCTCACCAAGAATATTACCATAACTTCATGACAGTGCGCTCCATTTTCACTTGGCTCCATATATATATATGTATATATATATATATTTAAGATAGCAGCCTAAGTAACATTAATTAAATGATGACACTAATAAAAAAAACCTCCCCAATGTCTTCTCAGAATAAGATCTAAAGATATCATAGCTCCAATGATCTTAATCCCTGCTATCTCTTTGAACTCATCTCATAACTCTTTGCTGCTCCCAGCTTATTCTATTATTTTCATTGCATCTCTTGACCCTGTTAATATTTATCACCATTTGACATACTTGTTTGTTGTGTCTTCCCTCCATACGTAAAGCCTCATTAAAGTAGGCCTGATTGTTTTTGTTGCTGTACGGCTGGTGCCTAAGAGTGCCTGGCACACGGAGGGTGCTCAATGAATATTTGTAGTTGCTAGAACAATAATAATAAGCTAGCACGGGCTATATATGAAGACACAATGGAGAAAAATAAATGGGAGGTGAACACACTCCAGGAAAATCCTGCCTGAAAATGTTTGAAAATTATGATAAAATATTTCATGATGATCTTAATATCTTAATCAAAGGCTCATTTTCATAAGCACACAAAAAGATAAAAGATATCATGAATTAACAAAGAATAAAATGTGAGTTGGCAGGGCTCAGGGAAAAATGTTAAAATAATCATAAAAATGAAAGTAAAATTGGAACAATAGACTACACTGCTTGAATCACATAAGGGGAATTGAGCAGGAACTGTAAAAACAAACGATATGGAGACAGGTGATGCAACATGTACATAATGGAGTGTTCCTGAAAGAGAAAACTTTCATCTTTTTTTTTTTTTTTTTTGAGTCAGGGCTCACTCTGTCACCAGGCTGGAGTCCAGTGGCACAAACCTGGCTCTCGACAGCCTTGACTTCCTGGGCTCAAGCGATCCTGCCTCGGTCTCCCGAGTAGCTAGGACTACAGGTGTGTGCCACCATGCCCAGCTAACTTTTTGATTTTTTTGTAGACATGAGGTCTCGCTATGTTGCCTAGGCTGATGTTGAACTGCTGGGCTCAAGTAATTCAACTGCCCCTGCCTCCTAAAGTGCTATTACAGGCGTGAGCCACCTCACCCAGCTGAAAACTTCCATTTTCTATTTTTACAGATGAAAGCACTGAGAAGCCCTGCACATTAAAAAAAAAAAAAAAAAAATTAGAAACTTCAATCCTCTGAACTCTTTTAGGCCAAAAGTCATTGTAATCTTTCATCAAAATTAATTTTTAATATATCAGCTGACAATTCACCTCAGCTGTTTCATTGAAATAACTGGAAACCATCTGACTTGCCAAGGGAGTCACTCAGGTCTCAACAAGAACATGCCAAACCATCCCTTTGTCTAGAGCCTTGAAAGATTTTACTCCCTGAGACAATTAAGCACAGTAGGTTTGGCGCGTAGCCGAGAGGTACTGCCTTTCTGTCCTCTAGTGGGAGAGACTGTGAAATGAGAGGCAGTTGACTTAAGAGAGATCAGTTTAGGAACAAGTATACATGGATGCACAGGATTAGGAGATTCTCTGTTGAACTCTTTCACATACTCCGGAATGAGTCAAGCAAGGAAAGAACTGAAAAGTGCCTATGCTTTAGGAAGATGAGAATCACTGATTTCATGAAAGTAGTTTTCAGTGCACTTGTGTCAAGGGTGGTAAAAGGCACACTAGAGTAGACTGAGGTGGGAAGATGGAGTAGAGACAGTAACAGAAACAAGCTATATATTGGATACACAAGGTGTGGCGATTACAGCCAGTTATGTGGTACCTAGGAGCAATTTTTAAGATGCGAAATACTTGAAATGCTGACAGAAAACAGGCAACAGATTGAGGATGAAGAGATCATCAGAAGCACTAGGTTCACAAGGTGCAAAGGATTGACACTAGTCTGCATTTATACTTATTACCTATCTGTTATGCACTAAGGCTTTTTGTTCATTTGACCTAATTCTCACAATCACAACAAGGTAATTACTGTTGCTATTCTTTACCCAGAAAGATCAAGTTATGCTCAAGCTCAAGATCCATGAGTTTATCACTATAGTGGTAGAGCAGGGATGAGCACCTTGTCCGTGACTGTGAGTTTAGTAGGGAAAGCTCAGGGTATTTCTGCCTGAAATTCCCTATTTTTTAAAATGAAATATACAAGGTAAGGATATGTTAAGAAAAAAAAAAAAGAGAGAGGGTAACACTTCAGAGCAGAGGTTTTAACCAGTTATTAAGGAAAACAGGAGGAGTTGACTAAAGAAAGGGTAACAGGCAGTGTTGAGGACAGTTAAAATCAGTTTTTACTAATATAGTAGTATACTTGGTGATCTTTTTCCAGCTATAACCTGTAGAGCACTGGAAACATGTAGGGCTGGAATTCTTCCAGGAAGTTATGACATTAGTGAGGATGACTTGGGAGACTGACAGCCATTAGTGAAATGATAGATCAATAGGCCTAGACAAGGCTTATGAAGGAGAAAACAGACGGCAGACCTGGAGCAGGTGTAAAGGAACAGAGCTGGTCAAAAGTGAGATTTTAATTTATTTTCAGTTTTTGGATGAGGGTTTCACTCTGTTGTCCAGGCACCGAATGCATGATCATGGATCACTGAAACCTCAACCACCTGGGCTCAGGCGATCTTCCAAACTCAGTCTCCAGAGTAGCTGGAACCATGCACAACTGATTTTTCTATTTTTGGTAGAGATGAAGTCTCGTTCTGCTGTCCAGGTTAGTCTTGAACTCCTGGGTTCAAGCAATCCTTCTGCCTTGGCCTCCAAAAGTGCTGGAATTATAGGTGTGAGCCACTGCCCCAAAAGTAAGACTTCGACTTCTAAAGTAGTGATTTCAGCCAGGCTCGGTGGCTCAGCCTGTAATCCCGCACTTTGGGAGGCTGAGGTGAGTGGATTGCCTGAGCCCACAGGATCGAGACCCACCTGGGCAACTTGGCAAGACCTCATCTCTACAATAAATCAAAAAATTAGCCGGGTGTGGTAGCGTGTGCCTGTAGCTCCAGCTACTTGGAAGGCTGAGGCGCGAGGATCACTGGAGCCTAGCAGGTCGAGGCTGCGGTGGCTGGGAGCGTCCACCACATTCCAGTCTGGGTGATAGAGTGTGACTCCAACTCAAAAAAAAAAAAATTAAATAAATAAATATAAAGTAGTGATTTCAGAGGTAAGGTTGTTTTTGGATTTTGAAAGGACACAGGATGTGGTTGTGGAGAAGGTAAGTAATAGAACTCAAGTCCTGTGTGCAATAAGTAGTCTTTGAAGCTAATCAGATAGCTGAAATTTGTTTTCTCAAAATGACTCAAAAGAATGTGACTTGTCTTTCCGCTGTCAAACTATGGTTTTGTCACTTCAATTCTCCCGGGTTTTAAAAATTATATGTAAGAGGACTTTTACCTATAAATATTGCAATCTGTTTCTGAAAACATTCAATAAAAAACTTTTAGATCAGTGGTATAAGTAAACACTTGGACATAGGCTCTTTAAAAAAGAGCCTTTAGACATTCAGGTATGAAATGTTCAATGATGTGAAAAAGCTGCCACTAAACTTTCCAGTAAATAGTAATTCACGGCAAAAAATAATTTGTATTTTCCTAGGATGCTTTTTTTTAGTAGGGCTATTAAGATGGCATGACACTGTCTTCTTTTAAAGTGTGTTCCCCCGCCCCAATCTGATTTAAAGACAAAAACAAAAACCAATGTTCATGCTTAAAAGACACCATGATGTTTAATATGGTGCTGGGATGCTAGACCACATGGACCAACAGGCCTAAATTTATTCCAACTATGAATTTTGTTAATGTCCAATAATACATTAATCAATTGAAATCAGAATCTATTTGGAGATGAAGGAAAAAAGGCTTCTATTATTGTTATTTTAGGTGCTTCTATTTACATATCAGAACCAAGACTTATCAACATTGTTTAAATTCATATTTAAACAATGAATAGATGAAAATATTTTAAAAACATAATACTCCTCTCACCCCACCGTCCATTCTAAAACATAAATCAGTCTTCACTTTCTACTTAAACTAGTTGTAATAAGCAATCTCACAAACTAGATAATTGAAAATCAGTGAGCAATCTAAAATTGTTGAAAAAAGTCAAACTTTCTCAAACCAAGTATTTGTTACATGTCACACACATTGTCTACCATTTTACTGACTCTATTTTACTAGAGGATAGCATCTATTTTAAAACAATGTGAGAAACTGGAAAAACAAACCTGATATATGAAAAATATTGCAGGATGGAGCCTATCCACGTTCTAGTTGCTACATTCCACTACCACACTCTAAATATCTTTTCTTTTTTTAAAAAGAGACAGTCTTACTGTGTTGCCCAGGCTATGATGCAATCATAGCTCACTGCAGCCTTGAATTCCTGGGCTTAAGTGATCCTTTCGCCTCAGCCTCCTGAGTAGCTAGGTCTATAGGCACATGCCACCACACTGGGCTAATCTTTATTTTTTGCAGAGACGATCTTGCTATGTTGCTCAAGCTGGTCTTAAACTCCTGGGCTGAAGTCTAAATTTCAAACTGACAGGAATAATTTTTAAAAATCCAACACACAAACACAAATATAAGTATCTAAATGTATAATAGTTCAGCTCACAAATAGGTTTGACTCAAGCCTTTGAACTTATTACTTACACACATTAAGATTTTGTACCCAATTATTTAAAGGTCCACTGACTAACCCATAATGCAGTTTGTGTTAACAGGCTGTAACAATCAACCACACAATAGCAATCAGATGATTCTAATCTTACTCCAATAGTAACAGCAATAAAATTAGAAAGTAATACTTCTTTTCAGTAATTAGATAATCAATATAACAGCCCTGTAATAAAATGAAGAGAATTTCTTGTTTCAGTTTCTTGTTCAATAAACCTGTTCCTCATTTTTAGATAATGAGGATAAAGGTATCACAACCAAATATGGGAAACTGCTTTCTCTTTATTTAGACCTTCAGGACAAAATTAACTTTGGTCACATATTACTAAAACAAACAAAAAAAAAATCCAGTTTTACATATTTCTAAATAGATAGGACTAAATGATCAGAGAAATAATTTCTTCCGTAAAAATTGGCCAAATTTTATCAAAAGTCTTACATATAACGTAATCCAAATTATATAAGACTGCTTGGGATCATAACATTCCAAATGTATGACAGTTGTAACTCCATCCTAACAAGGTATGAAAGTACTTGCTTTCATGTTGCTTTGGTCCAAAAGAGTAGAGCTGAAGCAGTAAGAGTAAACTAAGGACCTAATCTTTTGCCAACATTAATTTAGACTGTGATCGGCAGCAGAAATATCCATGATGAATAGCTCTACTATAACAAAGGATAATTAGAGTATTTTTCATGAACTTATCACAGTATCAAGTGAATTTTTATAAGAGAAAAATATAAACGAACAAAAACAAAAAACCAACAATAAAATAGCTACTACACAAACAAAAAGGGTCTCCCCCAACTGCATTTGAAGGGGTAAAAAGGTGAGAGTAGAGGGTTGATGATGCTAATATGAAAGGAAGTTGAGTATTGTATTTATTTCTTATTTTATACAACTCTTACTCTTTACAAAAATGGTTATAGTCATGCCCGTAAAAGTGTAATCCATGGCATTTGAAAGCAAACACTCTTTGTAATTATTTAAAAGGGCCTTTTAAAAATTATAATACAAAGGTCTGTGCTCTATAAGCAGTCCTCCACTGTGCATTATAACAATAAGGCTTACTTTTAATACAAAGACTAAGTGTTTGGGAGTTATGAGCCACTGGATTTAACAAACATCATTTTATAATTGCTTTTTGCATCTTTTTTGTTTTTGGGATCCTCCACTTCATCAGGGTGCTCAGCAGCTTGGAGTTCTTCAGCAGATTCTTCTTTCTCTGACTCTGAATCACTTTCAGAGTCATCCGGACTTTCAGGATCAGGTGAATCATCATCATCGTCATCATCAACTCCAGCCACATCACCTTCTCCATCATGATCTTCTACCTAAAACATCAACCAATAAGTTCTTTCAAAAACAAATTGGCCAGTACAAAAACCGAGAAAGACCCCAATTTCTGTCAGAATTTTAAAAGCAGTCCGCCCTGTAGCCATAGGAACGATAGTTTTAAGATCTGAGTAGAAGCCGGGCTCGGTGGCTCAGCCTGTAATCCCGTGCCTTTGGGAGGCTGAGGTGAGTGGATTGCCTGAGCCCGTGGGTTCGAGACCCGCCTGGGCAGGCGAGACCTCATCTCTACAATAAAATAAAAAAATCAGCCAGGTGTGCTAGCACGCGCCTGTAATTCCGGCTACTCGGAAGGCTGAGGCGGAAGGATCACAGGAGCCCAGCGGGTGGAGGCTGCGGTGGCCGGGAGTGGCCACTGCACTCCAGTCTGGGCGACAGAGCGAGACTCCAACTCAAAAAAAAAAAAATAAAAAAAAAAAATAAAAAAATAGATCTGAGTAGGATTTTGGTTTAAGAAAGGCTCTGGTCAGGCGCAGTGGACTGATCCTGTAATCATAGCTCTCAAGAGGGCTGAGGCAAAAGGATTGCTTGAGCCCAGGAGTTTGAGACCATCTCTAAAAAAAAATGAAAAAACTTAGCCAGGTGTGGTGTTGTGTGCCTGTAAGTCCCAGCTACATGAGAGGCCAAGGTAGGAGGATCACTTGAGCTCAGTAGTTTGAGGCTGCAGTAAGCAGCCACTGCATGCCAGCCTGAGTGACACAGGGAGACTCCCTGTCTCTTTAAAGAAAAAATTAGGGCTCTGAAGACCATCTATCTGTCTCCCCATTCCTATTTTGAAAGCCACTATATCTTCCTGAAAGAAACAGTATTTTAAAAATAAATTAACCACCATTCTTTATGTGGAAATCAGTTATCACTATTTTACATAATATACTACTTTGGAGTAGTTAAATAATAGTTATGTATTAATCCATAATCTGAAAAGAGAAGTTACTTAGGAAACAACTGAGAAATAAATCTTCTAAACCAATATTTTATTTTAGTTTTTGAATCAGGGTCTTACTCTGTCACCTAGGCTGGAGGGCATCCTGGGCTCAGGCAATCCTTCTGCCTCAGCCTCCTCAGTAGCTGGGACTATGGGTGCAAAACACCATGCCTAGCTTAGTTTTGATTTTTGTAGAGACGAGGTCTAACTAAGTTGCCTCAGGTGGTCTCGAAGTCCCAGGCTCAAGCAATCCTCTCATCTCAACCTCCCAAAATGCTAGAATTACAGGTGTGAGGCACCATGCCAATATAAACCAATATTTTAAACTTACATGAACTATTTTATCTAACTTGCAAACATGTTGTTCATGTCTATTAAAAATATGCCCTATTATTCATAATAGCAAAAACATGGAACCAACCATGTTGTCCATTGAAAGAGGACTGGATAAAAAAAATGTGGTATATACACATGATGGAATATTATGTGGCCATATAGAAGAACAAAATTATGAACTTTGCAGCAATTTGGATGAACTGAGAATCTATAATACTCAGTGATCTATCACAGAAACAAAGAACTGAATATATACCTACCCCGAATTGTACCCCACATCTTTAAAATTAAAAATTTTTTAAAAAAGGGCAACCCTTTCGGGCCCCCTTCCGCTGAGGGAGCTTTTCTGGCCTCTCAATAAATCCTGCTCTTAAAAAAAAAGGCCCTAATGATTAAGCAGAATTTACATTAAGCTGGTATTAGAAAACACATTTTTAAATCCTTAAAAACATCTAATTATCTACAAACAACCAGTAGGGCATATAAAAATATTTTAAGTAACTGTATAAAGCTTTCTACACAGAATTCTTGATTGCTAGGGTAATCTAACAGAAATAAATGATATCAAATTGAAAACTGATTATCTTCCTACTCAATGAAAATAAGTTAATTACTACCTCGCTGAAGCCAAGTCCACAATGTCTCCGGTATCTTCCTGATAATTTACTATCCATACTTTGCTGATATTGAGACTCCAGTTCTTCATTAATTTTCTTGTCTTCTTCCCCTGCATGTCCAGTGTACTTTGGTTATGTTTCAGTCAAATTAATAAAAACATTTGATTACACAAAAAAAACCCCATAATAGAGATGCTATTATACTCAGGGCTGATTTCTCTAATTGTGACTCATTTCACAACAAATTTTATAAATAAGTTTTTATACCACAAGTAGTTACCTTATACACAATAAAAATAATTATGTGATAATTCAAACCAGGCACAAAAGAGTCTCAGAATGAACCACCTGAAGTTATCATAATATTAATTACTAAGCACTTCCAGTATTAAATGTTTTAGCTTACAGTATAATAAATAAAATGTTCTCCTGAAAGTTTTCTCCTAGTCACCCAAACGTCCAACAAGCAAAAGCATCTGTCTTTGAAGAGAAATAGTGAAAAAAGGCAGGCAATTCTAGTCAAAGAATGGCTAAATAAAATAATCTATCTTGTAATGGTTCTCCTTTATCCCTTTCTTTGCATAGCAAGTTTACTGGAGCAACATAAACTTTAAAGTTCCCAATTTTAATATTTTGCACTCTGAAAAGCTCAGATATTTTTTGCCTAATGTAGCAATGAAAATCAACTTGAAATGACTGTTTAATACCAGAAAAACAAAATATCCATTAATTTCTAAAGTGGTGCCCCATATTGGGTCAGTATAAAGTTAATTTAAATAACTTAATTAAAAGTTTTATTAAATAGGCTGAGTATGGTGACTCATGCCTGTAATCCCAGGACTTTGGGAGGCTGAGGCCAGAGTATTACTTGAGTCCAGGAGTTCAAGAACAGCCTAGGCAACAGAATGAGACCTCATCTCTACAAAAAAATATTTAGTTGCTTATAGTCCTGCCTGAGCTCAGGAGGTCGAGGCTGTGGTAAGCCATGACTGTGCCACTGTAGCCTGGTGAGAGTGGTGAAACTGTGACTCCCAAAAAGAAAAAAAAAAGTTTTGTTCAATGTAATCTAGGTCAGCGGTCCCCAACCTTTTTGGCATCAGGGATTGGTTTTGTGGAAGATAATTCTTCCATGGACTGGAAGGGGGAAGGGATAGTTTTGGGATAATTCAAGTGCATTACATTTATTTTGCATTTTAATTCTATTTTTATTACATTGTAACATATAATGAAATAATTATATAACTCACCATAATAAAGAATCAGTGGGGGCCCTGAGCTTGTTTTCCTGCAACTAGACAGATGGTCCCATCTGGGAGTGATGGGAGACAGTGACAAATGAAGTGTGTTGCTTATATCCAGTGTACTCCATAATCTTGTTTTTGTTGCTGTTACTGCAGAAAACCCTGCTTCACAAAGATAGGATGTTGGATATGGAAGCGGTCTTTTCAGTGCTTTTGTGGCAATCTCAGGATATTCCACCTTGACTTTTATCCAGAATGTATGGAAATTTAAAGTTGTCTCAAACATAGCCTTTTTTTTTTTTTTTTTTTTTTTTGAGTTGGAGTTTCACTCCATCACCCAGGCTAGAGTGCAGTGGTATGCTCACGGCCACTCCAGTGCGACCTGCAAGGCTCCAGCAACCCTTCCACCTCAGCCTTCCAAGCAGCCAGAACTACAGGTGCCTGGCTAGTTTTTTTAATTTATTGTACAGACAAGGTTTTACCAAGTTACCTGTCTTGAATCCGCGGGCTCAGGTAATCCACTTGTCTCGGCCTCCCAAAGTGCTGGGATCACAGGCTGAGCCACCAAGCCCAGCCTCAAACATACTTTTTTTTTTGAGTTGGAGTCTCACTCCGTCACCCAGACTGGAGTGCAGTGGCCACTCCCAGCCACCACAGCCTCGACCTGCTGGACTCCGGTGATCCTTCCGCCTCAGCCTTCCGAGTAGCCGGAATTACAGGCATGTGCTACCACGCCCGGCTGATTTTTTGATTTATTGTAGAGATGAGGTCTCGCCAAGTTGCCCAGGAGGGTCTCGAACCCATGGGCTCAGGCAATTCACTCACCTCAGCCTCCCAAAGGCATGGGATTACAGGTTGAGCCACCGAGCCCGGCTTCAAACATACTTTTAAAGTCACTGTCACTTGTGTCTCAAGTAGTTGATCCTTATCTGGCACAAAGTCGATTCATCTGGCTTATTCACAAATGAGTCACAGATCCTTTCCTTCCCAGTTTGGGGGCCTTTTGTGGTTGGGAAGTAATGCTCAAACTCTTTTGAAAGCTGAGATAGATGATCATGCACCAGTTGGGAGAAAGAAGACCCTCACTCAGCCTCTTTCAAAATCTCTGTATCTGTTTGAAGCATGTCAGTGTTTCACTTGTTGCCCCCATAATTCCTGTTTAGCTTTTAATGTGGACACTCTATCTGCCGACTTGAACACAGCTGTTGTTCTCTTTTGAAGTGACAGATGGTGGAATTCATTGTGCAGGTTGAATATGTCACACAAGCAAGTTTTGGGACCCATTCTAAGTGTCACCAAAACATGCTGCTAATGGTGACCGTTTTTCTAAAAAGAAATCTCTAGAGCTGCTCTTGTAACTCAAAAATTCTGGCCAGTGATCTACCTTTAGAAAGCCATTTCACTTCTGTGTATAAGAGAACATGTGTGTGCTCTGCATCCATCACCTTATAGAGGTGCATGAATAGACATGAGTTAAGGGCATGTACTTCAATGTGGTTGATAATTTTAATTACATCCTGCAAAACATTAAGTCCAGGTGTCATCTTTCAGCTAGTCAGAACTTCTCTATGGTTGACACAGTGTATAGAATCACACTCAGAAGTGACTGGCCTCTTTGACTCAAGTAGTAAAACCAGTAAGTTGCCCAGTCATGGCAGCTGCTCTGTCTGTGCATATACTGACACAAGATGACCAATTCAGTTTTCCTGATATGCAATCATTCAAAGACTTGAATTCTGCAGCTGTGGGATTAGTTGTCAAAAAAAGTGCACACAACATATCCTTATGCACGTCCTCCTAAAAAATATATCGCACAAAAATAAGCATTGTTGCCATGTTGTCGATATTGGTAGGTTCATCAACCTGGATTGTATACCACATGACTCATTAATCCTAGTAACTGTGACTCAATATCCTCTGCTGCTTCATCAGTTTGCCTAGTTACGGTGCTAGCTGAAAGAGGAACACATACCATCTTCTGAACTGCGGCCTCGCCTAAAAGTCCATGACAAATGTCCTTAGTGGCAAGTAGGATTGACTCTTCACCAATAGCAAAGGGTTTCTTTCTTAGTTTTAGCAATGCAGTTAGCCACTAAGAATGATGCTCTCAGTGCAGGCACATTTGATGAAGTAAGAGCCTTCAATAATTCCTTCTGTTCTTCTTGTTCACATTTTCTTCTTTTGAAAAACTCCAAATGCAGCATGCTTGGTCTCCATGTGGTGAAGTAGTTCTGAAGGTTTCATGGCTTTGTTGGATAGTCAGTTGCCACATATTATACAAAGCGGGCTTGGAGAATGTGAATTACCTGTTGCGATGAACCCGTAATTTAAGTAGGACTCGTGGTATTTTCTTTTAAACTCAGCTTTCTTTTTGTTGGCGGACTTAAGAGTCTTCTGCTGTCTCATCATTGGGTCTTTCCCCCCTTTCAAAGAAATTCTCCAGTGATGTTTGTTTTTTTACTTTTTGGCTAGGGTTTGCTTGTGGGCTTACTAAAACTGTGACTGAGACAAGTATGCAGTACAGGAAGGAGGCGTGGACAGAAGTGGTAAATAAAATAATGGGCAGGCCACACACGGACTAAAATAATTGTGGGATTCTGACTTAAAGCCTGCCACCAGATGCAGCTGTACAACTGAAGTACATCAATTTACTTGCCACTCACTGATAGGGTTTTGATATGAGTCTGCATGCAATCAATTTATTATGGTTTCTGTGCAGTCAAACCTCACTGCTAACGTTAATCTGTATTTGCAGTCGCTCCCCAGCGCTGGCATCAATGTCTCAGCCCCACCTCAGATCATCAGCCACTGGATTCTCATAAGAAATGTACAACCTAGATCCCTTGCATGTGCAATTCACAATAGGGTTTGCATCCTATGAGAATCTAATGCTGCTGCTGATCTGACAAGTGGTAACATGAGCAACGGGGAACAGTTGTATACACACATGAAGCTTCGCTTGCTTGCCCACCACTCAACTCCTCCTTCCTAACAGGCCACGGACCATTACCAGTCCGTGGTCGAGGGGTTGGGGACCCCTGATCTAGGCCATATGCCCTGTTATCAATAATGTCCAAAATTAGAGTAACTTTAAAAATAGGCAAAAATTTCACTTTTCAGCAGAATGAATTAAAATCCAAGTTCATTTTCAGTTTTTATTTAAAAAATTTTCCCTAACATTTTTTTCTTTTCCATTATTTTTTAAAGTTTATTTCTTCAGACTCTGACTAGTTTATATTCTTCAGAACAATTGTAGTGAATAAACTCTAAATCAGTTTAATATGCCAACTATAACATTGTATATTAAGTAACTTGCAAGAAGAAAAAAATTCTACACATGCCATAGTTGGCAATGAGACATAAAATCTCACTATAATTTAAACATATGTTCTGAACTGGTAAAAATGAAGACCAAAATAGGTTAGTTTCTTGATAAGAATATCATACTGATATATAATCTCCTATCTTTATAAAATCAATGTATATGACATTTGATACTTTATGTAATATATGTAAAATATTAACGTTATACATTTCCAATCCTAATATTTTAATCATTGACACAATTACATACAGAAATTAGAATATCCCAAAACATGTACACATATTTCACATTCCAAATTTAGCACCTGTACTTTAATTATATTTTACTTTCTTACCTGTTCGGAAGTGAGAGGTTGATTTGTGATCTCCTATAACAAGACGACCAGTGTGTTCTTTCTATAAGAAGGTTAAAAATGTATTAGAATTGGAGACCACCAATACTGAGTATTTACTATGTAACGGAAAGGATTCCAGGTTTCTGACACAGAGTGAAGACAAGGGACTAAATTAAAATCCCTAGCTTTAAGGAGCTTACATTTTAGCAAAGATAGAAATGGGAAGGAGAGACAGAGAAAGGTAAGCATGACTCAAACAAAGAAAACACAGCTAAGGGGTAGAGACCAGGTTGGAATTTTAAATAAGATAGGTAAGTAACTAGAAAACTGAGTCAATCTAAACATTTTCTTTCCCAAAAGGCCAGGTAATGAGTTGCTTTAACTTTTCTGCCTTCTCTAATTCCTCAAGTACAGCTCATAAAGAGAAAGCGGATGAGATTACTTATCTAGACAAAAATGAAATAATTAAAACTTATAATGTACAAAGTGACAGATCCTTAAGATGTAAGAAAATGAAAATCATTACAATATTTACAATATCACAATTAGTTAACTCTTTACTATTTGACTACAATAAACTCCCAATCTTAACCTGTCAAAAATAATAGAATTTAAAACAATCTGGTACTCTAAAACATAAAAATAATTCTGATTCAACATTACATAATCAGGCTACATAATTACTCTCATTTTAATCAATCCAGTATACTCTTTGTGGTTCATATTTAGTTTTTCACAAGGCAAAGAAATAAAGAGCTCATTAAAACAAATGGGCAACCCACTTGGGTCCCCTCCCACTGTGGGAGCTTTTCTGTCCTCTCAATAAATCCTGCTTTTTTCAAAACAAAACAAAAAATGTGAAGATGAGATTAAATGGGACTTTGCAAAGCAATCTTAACCAATCATTTGTGAAGATGTAGAAACATGTCTTCCTACTGTGAAACAATGACAGACACATTCTCCATATACAGATGATACTGAAAAGTGTCAAGCTTTAATGCTCATTGTCTCACCTGCCATTAACACATAAACAAATCAATGATTCAGTGTATTGCTTCTTCAGATTGCAAAACCAATAGCTCATTGACAAGATTTGAATATAACAGCTCAAGTTATTCTAGGATGATGATTGTATTGCACAGATCTATTCACACTTTCTTACCTGGTTCTTCCATTACCAATAAAATATTCATGGTAGCTGGCTATGATTAGAAATATATTTGTGGTTACAAAATAATAAATCTAAAAAGCTCATATGAAGATCAAAGCTACAATCTTGGCTTCACAAAGAATTTTATGCTAAACAACTAATTTACTGGTAGCCAAATTATACACATTTTATATCAGGATGTTCTTCCTAAGTGCTTTAAGAATTTTCATTCTACTAGGTTGAATGAACTACACTAATACTTACCTTATATATCTTTAGCAAATCTTTCATAGTAAGTCCTCACTTAACTTTATCAATATGTTCTTGGAAATTTTGACTTTAACCACATTTAAGTGAAACAACATATAAAGAAACCAATTTTTTTCCTTATCAACATTATAATGAAATAATTTTATGACACTTGTTTGCTTAAAGTCATTGTTTCCAAGAACCTATACAGGATGTTAAGCAAGGACTTAATATATTTGCATGAACAAAGAAAACCTACAGAGTATTTATGTAGGTTCTCTTTCTATGACAAATTACAATTTATTGGGAAATCTAGATTAATATTATCCAAATGCTTTCTTTAATAGGTCTTAGAGTTTTGTATGACCTCTTCCTACTCCCAACCCCATGGTTGTAGTCTGGCTCATTCCTTCTCATTCTTTCAGATTCACATCATTCTATTTCTGCGAAGCTTTTTTGTATGGCAAAACCAGCATTAGCTGCCCTTTTCTGTGGTTCCATAGCACCAGGTGCATGGCTTTCTCACAGCAATTATAATTCTGCATTGTTATTATCTAGTTTCCTCCATTACATGACGGTTCAAAGCATGTATGATTGATCTATGTGACTCCTAGGACCCTGCACAATATCTGGTATGTAGTGGTAGTAACTGTTGGCAAGGTACATCAATGTATTCCCAAATGTATAATGAAACAAAGGGCAGAATTTCATTTTAAAGTGCTTAAAAGAAAAAAAAGTTTCGTATCTCGTTTAAATGTAGTTTGTAGGAAGACTATTGGAACAATGTTTGTGAGGCAGGGTAGCTAGAAGAGAGGTAGACAGATGAATTTCTTGCAGGTAGGCATAGCTTAGATAATTAAAAAAACAGATGGTCAGGCATCTAGCTGAAAGTCGTCTTATCAGGACATAATTCTCTAAAACAATACCTGCACTGAACCAGGCACTGGAGGTACTAAGGAATTGTGTTTTCAGGAAGAAACTTATTTAAAATAGTAAAACAGTAACTTTTACCATTATCTTAAGATTTTCACACGACACAAGCAAGCTCAGAAATAGACAATAAGGATAGAAATTTGTGATTAATAGATCGTAATCCATCCTGTAGCACACAATTCTTAGCTTAAGAATTAGGATGCTTAATCATCACTAAGAAAATATATAAAACACTCAGTTAATAACAGGTTGCAGTGCTCCTTCTCTTAAGAAACACATGCTGGCCGGGCGTGATGGCTCAAGGCTGTAATCCCAGCACTTTGGGAGGCCGAGGCAGGAGGATTGCCTGAACTCAGGGGTTCAAGACTAGACTAGGCAACTTGGCAAGACCTCGTCTCTACAATAAATCAAAAAAGTAGCTGGGCGTGGTAGCGTGCACCTGTAGTTCCAGCAACTTGGAAGGCTGAGGCGGAAGGATTGCCTAAGCCCAGCAGGTCGAGGCTGCAATGGCCGTGAACATACCACTGTACTCCAGCCTAGGCAACAGAGTGAGACTCTAACTAAAGAAACAAAACAAAACAAAACAAAAAAACTCATGCCCTCTCTTGAGCATGTCTTTTTATTTCTAATAACTTGTCTTAAATTATACCTTGTACTTGCTCTAAAATTCTTTTCTGTGGTAAAGTCAAGAACCCACAGAACAACAACACCACATTCCATCAGGCATTGTCTCAAAAATACATTTACTGGCTTAAAAAAATAAATATCTAGGTCAGGTCTGGTGGCTCACACATTTTGGGAGGCCAAGGCAGGAGGATTGGCTTGAGCCCAGGAGTTTACAGCCAGCCAAGGTAACAAAGTAAGACCTTGTCTCTATAAAAACAAGAAAAAAAAAATGTGTGTGGTCCTGTTCTCCTGTAGTCCCAGCTACTTGGGAGGCTGAGGCGGAAGGATTGCCTAAACTTGGGAGGCTGAGGCGGAAGGAGGGGTCGAAGCTGCATCGAGCTGTGATCACTGTGATCATGCCACTTGCACTTCAGCCTAGGTGACAGACTTTGAAAAAAAAAAGTTATCCAAGGGTGCAGATATCTATTAAAAGTGTTAATATAAAAAAAATAATAATAGTAATAATAATGATAAATAAACATCTAGAGACCACTGTTTTACTAGGGTAAAGAGAGTTTTTTTTACAATTGATACTTTCCTGGCACTTGTATTTTATGTAGTTGACCGTTGAACAACGTGGGTACATTTATATATGAATTTACTTCCACCTATGCCACCCCAAGACAGTAAGACAATCTCTCCTCTTCTGCTTACTCAACATGAAGACCTTTATAATGATCCACTTCTAATTGATGAACAGTACATTATTTCTCTTATGATTTTCTTAATAACATCTTTACTTTATTGTAAGAATGCAAGATATAACTAATAAAACATATATGTGTTAACTGTTATCGGTACAGCTTCTGGTCAATAACAGGCTATTAGGAGTTAAGTTTTTGGAAAGTCAAAAGTTATATGCAGATTTGACTGCACAGTGGGTCAGTGCCCCTAATGCCTGCATTGTTCAAGGGTCAGGTGTGCCTTCTATTACATTACACAAAATAAGAGACATTTCAAACTATCTTGAATAGATTTAAAATTAGAGTTTTTTTCCCTCTGGTGCTTTACATACTCAGAGAAACTTCTCTAGTAACAAATATAGAAATGATCTCTGAAAGTATAGTTTTAAAATTAGTTTTTTGATAAAGATATTCCCTTTGTTACTCCTTTAAGGGCTGGAGGGAACTAAGAACTATGATAAACTTTTGACTTTGGCCAGAGGTTCTCACAAGATAACCTGTCCAGAAGATAATATCTTCTATTAAATCACTGGGCTAAAAGATGGCAAGTCATAAACTTTGACATCTCCATTCTCTCACAGAGCCTCCTTCACTAATTTTTTTCTCTATACAGTCTTCAAACTTTACTGACAGAGGCACTGAAAATCCTAGAAGTGGTCCAGAAATAATATAATTTTTAAGTGTTTGGTTAGGTCGAGTGTATTTCCCAAAGCCAAAAGTAATGATGCAGAACAGAAAAATGGGATCCAAGTATATTCAGTCCTTTCCATTTAACAAACAAAAATGGCATTATTTTCACACACACACACACACACACACACACACACAAAAGCATTCTATCTGATGCTTACCTTTCCTGCGCCCATAAGTCTCAAGAACTTTTGTTTTCTCTCTTCGTTACCCAAGTCTGCTGCCTCCCAATTGCTAGATCCAAGCTGGAAAATAAATTAGTTGATTCATTTTTTTTGCATAAAAATAAGTTTAAAAAAATTTAAAGTCTACTTGTAACTCCAATTTTTTTTTTCCTGTCAGTTTAAACTATAAGCAGAGTTCACTTTTCTTGCTAAAGAAATTCTGAGTCCGAGTCTCACTCTGTCGCCAAGGCTGGAGCACTGTAGCATAATCACAGCTACTGCAGCCTCAACCTGATGGGCTCAGGCGAGCCTTCCACCTTAGCCTGCCAAGTAGCAAGGGACTACAGACATGTGCCACTACACCCAGTTATTTTGATTTATTATAGCGATGAGATCTCGTCATGTTGCCCAAGCTGGTCTCCAACTCCTAGGCTCAGATAATCCTCTTGCCCCGGCCTCCCAAAGTGTGTGGACCACCGCACTCACCCAGAAGTTGAGTATATGTGTCACATTCACTTTTACTCCTTTTCTATTTTTTTTTAAATTTTTATTTTAAAGATGTGGGGCACAATTCAGGATTAGGTATACAAATGGTCACCGCACAGGCAAAGCTTAGGCCACCCCTTGGTCCCCACTTCGCCTGGTTTGAGATCAGGTACGCTTATCGATGTACTCCTTTTCTATGACCTCACAGCAGAATCCTTTAGTTTATCTGCAGCCGGGGGTCTCTGGTTTTCTAGTCTGCCTGTATCAGAATCACCTAGAGGGCTTGTTAAAACAGACTGTAGAGCTACAGCACCAGAGATTCAGATTCAGTGGGTCTGAGATGGGGCACAAGGATTTGAATTTCTAACAAATTCCTAAGTGATACTGATCTGGGGATCACACTTTGAGACCCAATGTCCTAGAGCCTTTCAGGGCCCCAGAGCACCTCATTCTCTGAACCTAGAAGGCTGACACGGTTGTTAGTTGAAGACAAAAATTCTGGTTTAGTGATATTCTAAACGACAGTATATCCTCAGTATCCATCAGTTCCAATTTAAATTTTTCAGTTTTTTTGAGCAGCTTTAGTAATGTTAGGATTGAAATGTCATGGTTTTTCTCCTTCTTAGAAGTCTTCCAAAGAACACAGAGAAAACTTACTTCTTTTTTGTCACCCAGACCAGGAGTGGCCACTGCAGCCTCGACCTGCTGGGCTCCGGCGATCCTTCCGCCTCAGCCTTCCAAGGAGCTGGAATTACAGGCATGCACTACCACGCCCGGCTGATTTTTTGATTTATTGTAGAGATAAGGTCTCGCTGCCCAGGCGGGTCTCAAACCCGCGGGCTCAGGCAATCCACTCACCTCAGCCACCCAAAGGCGCGGGATTACAGGCTGAGCCCCCGAGCCCGGCAGAAAACTTATTTCTATCTCACAATTATCAGATGGGTCCACTGAACCCTTTTATAAATCTAAGAAATGTTATGGGATCCTAGTGATCATATTTTCCCCTACATCTTGAAACAAATGTAAGAACCACTTCATTATAATTCATCAATTACTCCCAGCTATGGTAAAAATGACTAAAATAATAAAAATAATAGAAAGCAGAAAAACTTTCTCAATGTATTATCCAAAGTACTGCATTATCATCTTTCAAGAAGGTATCATGCCTCTGTTGCTAGCTGTTAGTTTTCACTGAAAACAAATGGGAATTCAGAATTTTTCATTTTCAATCCATAATGGCAAAATGAAAAAACTGACAGAAGGCATTTTACAATTATAAGAAATATAAGGTGAATGCAAAATTACGAGTAGTAGTATTTTAGACTAACGGTAATAGTGAAATTAACTGTTTGTACAAAAATCTTAACTGTGAGTCCCTGGATGATGAAACTTAGATGACCTGTTTCCAACCCAAGAATCGATGAGAGACAATGAGAAAAGGGACAAAGAAGAAATGTACTCTTACTGGGAGAGTCATTCAGATGGAAGGACTTCATCCTGCAATATTTTGTGATAAGAGCCATGATCATCCTACTTTTCTAAATGGATTTTTTTTTTCTTTTAGTCAGAACCTCACTCTGTCGCCCAGGCTGGCTGGGTTCAGGTGACCCTTCAGTCTCAGATTTCCAAGTAGCTGGACCTACAGGTGTGCACTACCACGTCCAGCTAATTTTTTGACTTATTGTAGAGATGAAGTCTCGCCATGTCGCCCAGGCCAGTCTCAAACCCAGCAGCTCGGGCAATCCTCTAGCCTCTGCCTCTCAAAGTGCTGGAATTACAGGAGTGAGCCACCACAACTGGCCTGATGTGTGAATATTTTATTTCATCTTTTGTGATGCTTGTGCCTCAAAATTTACTTGATTTGGTTTGCAAATGGACAAGAGGTGAAGGCAAATGTACATACAAAGGTGACTGGAAGAAAAAATATGATATACAAATAAAAACATTCACTGAATTGATTATTCTAATTGAGTTTATAACCTAAAAATGAGAATGTTTTACAATTATGGAGCAAAAATGACAAACTCCTCTTCAACACAAAACTGTAAATGAATGAGGGCTTAAAAAGTCTTTAAGTATTACATTTTGATGGTGCAAATGTATGAGGGAGAAGTAGTAATAAAGCTAAAACCTATTAGAAATATATATGGGCTGGGCTTGGTGGCTCAGCCTGTACGACCAGTACTTTGGGAGACCGAGGTGAGTGGGATGCCCTGAGCCCATGGGTTCTAGATCAGTCCGGGCAATTTGGTGAGACCTAGTCTCTACAATAACTAAAAAATTAGCCAGGCGTGGTAGTAGCTCTGGCTACTTAGAAGGCTGGGGCGGAAGGATCGCTGGAGCCCAGCGGGTCGACGCTGGGGTGGCCGTGAATGTGCCACTGCACTCCACCAGCCTGGGCGACAGTTAGATTTCAACTCAAAAAAAAGAAATATATATGAAATCTGAAATAATGTTCCAGGTTCAAACATGATAGCTGATGCCAAATTAACTGTATTTAGAGGGTGCCAAACATCTGAGTATACAGTTCACTATGGAACAAGATAGAACTGTGAGGGTGCCTTATATGTAGTTTTTTTGGTTTTTTTTGAGTTGAAGTCTCACTCTGTCACTCAGACTGGAGTGCAGTGACATGCTTCCGGTCACTGCAGCCTCGACCTGCTGGGCTCCGGCGATCCTTCCACTCAGCCTTCCAAGTAGCCAGAACTACAGGTGCATGCTACCAAGTCCAGCTAATTTTTTGATTTATTGTAGAAATGAGGTCTCGCCAAGTTGCCTGGGCAGGTCTCGAACCCACAGGCTTAGGCAATCCACTCACCTTGGCCTCCCAAAGCACGGGATTACAGGCTGAGCCACCGAGCCAGGCCAGATTTTTTCCTAATCAAAAGCAGGTCAGGATTCAAAACTCACATATACTGAACACCCATATATACTTTTCCTGAACTCAGGTTGTACATGGCCAACTGTGGGACTTCAGGGATTTGGGTATAGGGGTGCATGGGTCCTGGAACCAATCACCCACTGTACTGAGGGATGACTGTGAATACCACCAAAATCAGGAAAATGTAGAATATAAAATCGGGTTTACTATTGTTAAATTCATATTAAGATTTCTAATAAAGTTGTTTTTCACTACCCCTTTATCCTTACTTCTGAAAAACATTTGTAAAAGACAAAAAGAACATCAAAAACACGAATAATTATTTACCTTTAGCATGAGTTTTAAGTATTTGTACCATTCTAGACATTAATAATGTATAATAATCTTATACATTATATTTCTGGTGGATGCTTATATGTTCTCAATTTTGGCTCCCTAAATTCCAAATCTCTACTTCTTCCCATGTGACTTCTCATAAATTTTAATAAGTCATTTAGTTCTTAACTATTTCTGGCTCAAAGTTAAGAGTACTAGTTGAAACATCAGTTGATTCTCATTAATTCACTTGCTCTGTAAGCCAGGATCTGACATTTAACTTAGTTTTAATTCCCTATCTACAAAGAGAGGAGTCTTTTTTTTTTTTTTGAGTTGGAGTCTCACTCTGTCGCCCAGACTGGAGTGTAGTGGCCGCTCCCGGCCACCACAGCCTCGACCTGCTGGGCTCCGGCGATCCTTCCGCCTTAGCCTTCCGAGTAGCCGGAATTACAGGCATGTGCTACCACGCCCCGCTGATTTTTTGATTTATTGTAGAGATGAGGTCTTGCTGCCCAGGCGGGTCTCGAACCCGCGGGCTCAGGCAATCCACTCACCTCAGCCTCCGAAAGGCACAGGATTACAGGCTGAGCCACCGAGTCCAGCAAGAGAGGAGTCTTTAAAAGACCATCTTAAGAATAACTAAGAAATGCATGGTGTTTTATAACTTACAAATTGCTTCTCACTTTTTCTCAAGAGCACCTTATGATAATCCATTTAATAAAGACACTGAGGCACAGAGGGACTGTGACTTGCTCTGATCCTTTGCTCTTTCCACCTTACTGTACTTGATCAAATGAAACAGAATACTGAAAGTAGTCTATGAACTACAGTTATAAAAATGTATAAAGATAAAAGCAAAAAAACTGTCTAAAAACTTTTCTGACCCTCTATTTCTATTAAAAGAGCAAACACTCCCGTGTTTACATAAATAACTCTATATCACCTACAACTTCTGATTTAGTAAAAAGAAAAAAAAAGATGAAGTCCTCCCAGTTGTTCCTTTCAGAACTTAAAGTACAAGTCCCTTGCCCAAATGCTGCATTTTGAAAAGCACACGGCTGCCCTATATATTCTTAGAGATTTTATACCAGTTACTAAAATTGACCTCCCTACTCCTCTCACTCCCTATAGCTTTCATTTCTCCACTCCAAAAAAACCAGTGAAGCCGTTTTTAAATTGTCAACATCCTTAATACCCTTTACTATAAGACTACAATCAATTTACCTCCTTCTTAATATATATCCTAGTGACTCTTAGAATTGACTATGTTGTCAGCATTTTCCGAGAGTTGTATTCTGTGATTTAAAACTACTTTTAATATCTTTTAAAATGTTATTACCAATTATTTGTGAAGTCAGTGGGCAAAGAAAACGTTGATGAACTTTCACATACAGTAGATGTTCATTAGAAACTGTTGACCAAATACATGATTATAGCTAGTTGGTTTTCTAAAAAAATCAGAGGTTTTTTTTTAATGTTATGTATGGTTTAAAAAATTAAAAAAAACCAAATACTTAAAATATTCCCAATAAAAATTCATGTAAAAAACTGACTTTAAATCATCACCGTGTTGCTATTACTATAACATTAGCAACATAATCATTTTTAGACAGTATGTGAAGGACCTAGGTCCTAATCTTGAATCGCAACTATAGCCATCTCCTTTAAAGACAATGCTTAAAGGATTGGAAAAGGTCTTATAGGTCACCTAGTTTAAACTGATCTCATCAGAAGCTGTGAACTTAATTACTTAATCCCTTTAACTTTCTGTTAAATTGCAATATCACCTGAAGTTTTCTATCAAGCTAAAAGGTTGTTCTGAGTCTAGCATCAAGACACGGGTAAATATTAGGAGGAAAACAATCTAACAGTTTTTTAAATGGCAGCCAGGTTACTCAAAAGCCTGGAAAACCTGACAAAAAGTGAATTACCATATTAACAAGAAAAGATCTAAAAGCCAAGCAGCCTAAAGAACAGAGGGCATGGATACATCTCACTACATGACTATTCATCTCCAGATCTATACTGATAGTTCATCTTTCTGTAGAGTTAAAATCGATTTCTTTAAAGACCTTTGCTATCCCGGTCCTTACCCCATCTTCCTTCCACTCAAAGAAGGATGGGTCTTAACACCATCTCATTTGCTACATAGTAGTACTCAGTAAGCCTTTAGAGTTAAGATAACATGAAAGCCACTGAAGCGAACTATGGAAAAAACAACAAAAAAAACCTCTACATATTCAGAAACTGATAGTGATTTAAACAACGCGTCAAAGAAAGCTAGATGTCCCTTCATCATCCTTAAACATGACCGCTCCACGCCCCCTCCAATAATTTCCCCATCAACGTTCCCTAGGAACTGTAGGAAGGATCTAGTTTTACGATTACTGGTTACCCGCAGTTTCCACGACAATGCACCAGGAGCCAGGACAAATACACAAAAAAGCCTAACATAAGCACCGTACTTTCTCATCTTTGAATTCCAAACACCTGGCCCAGCCGTAAATATTTAATGGGCTCCTTTAAGAGACGAATGGTTTACTATTTAAACTGATAAGCGGGGGCGGGAGGGGGCGCGTCGAGGGGAAGGCGACCGAGGTATCTCACATCAAAATGGGCTCCTAGGTCTCACCGCCTCAGACCGCGACACCGCAGCCAGTTCCACATTACACCCCGGAACAATTTTTCGGTTTAATACTCTCCTGGGTTTACTTTTACTAATGCAGTTAAGGTTAACGCTTAACGGTACACTGCAAAACCACACAGGCCGGAAAAATCTGCCCAAATGTGCACGAATGTTTCGACACCGTCACGGGAACATTTTAAGCCGGAAAATAGGGAGTTCTGCCGTCTCCATCCTGAGTAGAAAGGCCCAAGTAAGCATCTTCATCAGCGCCCCCAAACGCAAATATGAGTAACCCTTGACCAAGTCCTTTCATTTGTCGACCCTTTCAGGATTCCCTTCCTCAGTCCCCGACCCCCCCCCCCCCCCCCGCCTTCCTACGCAGCCATCTGGGTCTCAGCGTGTGGACCTCCTCACACCTTTCGACCCTAATAAAGAAAGGGAGACATTCCCCAGTCATTCTTCTTATTCTTCCCCCTCGGCCCTTCCCCTTCAGGACCCCTCAGGCGCTTCCTCCTGCATCCACCCTTCCCGGCCTACTCCGGCCTTTAGTAGGCCTCAACCCTCATCCACTCCGCCATTGTTATTTACATCGTCGTCTGGGGAGGCTGAACGTTTCACCCCGTGCGGGTGAGACTCTCTGGCAGCACTCATTGTTGCGGGGATGCCGACGAGAAACGCCGAAACCGCTGGCCGTTCTCCTCAGCCGCGACACCAGCAGCCTGCAACCTTCCACCAGCCCAAGCAGCGCCACTCCAGAACGCAGAGCCCCTCCGGGCCTTCTCCGCTACAGTCGTCACTGCGGCGGCCGCTCGCCGCCCCAGAGCACTTTGGGAGTCGTAGTTTTCTGAGTTACTTCATACTGGCCCGAATAAGAGAGATGGATGGGTGACTAAAACTACAACTCCCCGAATGCCCCGCGGCTCAACTCGCGCTGTGTGGCGGGAGAGGCCTCCGAGGCCCCGCCTCCTCCGGCCGGGGGAGGGAGCGTTCCCGCGGATGGGTATGGCGGTGAGCGTTGATCCACAGCTTCGTCACCACAGAAGCAGCCTCGGAGTGGGTTTCCCCGTGAGACGCTGCCCTACTAGCAAACGCATCTGTCGTAGTTAAGCACCTAGGGTTTAAATGTGATGTTGGAGGATTGTTGAATTCTCACGACTACATCCACCAGGACAAAAAGAAGAAGAAAAAAAAAAACCTTAAAAAAAAATGGCTTCTACCGTTTCCACCCTGGTGCTAGTTCTCGGGTGCACGCAGGGGATTTGTAGATAACCCGCGGTGCTACTTTCTAGAAGGTTCCGGTGACTATTTTGCTGATTTATCATACCGAAATGAGTGCAGTTGTTATTGAGTGCTGGCTAATTGGCTGTTATCGAAACGGGGTCCACCCGCGAGGATTCCGTTAGGTTTTCCATATGGCTTTGTGTGAGGTGGAAGTGATGCTGTCCGACCTCGCCGTCGGGGTAAAGGCATCGTCCCGTTGGGCCTTCACCAAGTGAAGCCAGTCCCTGCCTGAAAACCCTGTATCTTTTTCTTTTTTCTTTTTGTTTTTTGAGTTGGAGTCTCACTCTGTCGCCCAGACTGGAGTGCCGGGGCACGCTCCCGGCCACCGCAGCCTCGACCTGCTGGGCTGCGGCGATCCTTCCTCCTCAGCCTTCCGAGTAGCCGGAATTACAGGCGCGCGCTACCACGCCGGGCTGATTTTTGATTTACTGTAGAGATGAGGTCTCGCCAAGTTGCCCGGGCGGGTCTCGAACCCGCGGGCTTAGTCAATCCACTCGCCTAAGCCTCCGAAAGCGTGGGATTCCAGGCTGAGCCACGGAGCCCGGCCCCTTTTTCTATTGTAAAAAAATGATTTTTAAATTGAGGTGACATTCACACAACACATAGTTAACCATCTTAAGGTGTACAATTCATTGGTGTTTTGTACGTTCACGGGAGGTTTCATCACTGCGAAGGAACCCCAGTGTCCCGGAAAGCAGTCCTCCCCCCACCCCCAGTCCTATCTGTAGGAATTGTACCATCCCGGAGACACACTCCTGCAGTGTCAAGCTGTCTGAGTTTTTAACCAGGCCTTGAACTTAAATTCTGCCAGGATTCTTATCCTTACTTATTCTGAAACTTTCTGACCTTGACCAAAAATGTGATTTTTTTTAAAAAGCAGAAATCGGGAGAAGTGGTACATCTAGTGTTTGGGTGCTGAGAACAGTCTGTGAAGCAATGCTTTAGCTGTTCGTTTCTAACCCCAGCAGTGAGTCCAGTTTGACTGCCTATGTGCAAATATTACATTCCTAGCTTTTAGATGATCCCTGAATCTTTTCTAGAACCGGTTTCTACAACCAGTGGAAGATAGTTTTGTGTTTTTTTTTGAGTTGGAGTCTCCTTCTGTCTGCAGGTTGGAGTGTAGTGGTATGCTCAAGGCCACCGCAGCCTCCACCTGCTGGGCTCAGGCGATCCTTCTGCCTCAGCCTTCCAAGTAGCCGGAACTACAGGCACCTACCACCATGCATGCCTAATTTTTTTTATTTATTGTAGAGATGAGGTCTCGCCAAATTGCCCAGGCTGGTCTCAAACCCATGGGCTCAGGCAGTCCTCTCACCTCGGCCTCCCAAAGTGCTGGGATCATAGGCATGAGCCACTGCACCTGGCAGATAGTTTTTTAGTTTATGGAATCACAGATTCCAATTCTCCTTTATTTTGGAAACAAGAACGTCATGATAACAAGTACTATAGTATGAAAAAAGATGTTAGATAAAGGTCATATTTTATAGTATAATCAAGTAAAAGGTACCTTAGTATACTAGTTCTGTGGTAAGCATAGATTATAAATATAGGAGGAAAGTTGTAAACCCATGAGGGAAAAAAGCATTACTTGGAAGTAGTTGCTTACTGTTTGCTAGAATTAAATTTATGTTTTGTCTACTAACTCCCTAAATCTACTAAGTTTCTATAAATATAATTACAGTGAAATTGCATTTAAGTTACAGTACTTTGTAGTTTGAACTACATGGTTCATCTCCAATGAGTTTGACAAACTGTAATATGCACAATTTTGAACTCTTAGCTATATTGCCAATAAATGGGATGGATGTATAGGCACTTTAGACTGCTAAAAGAATTCTGAATTTAAAAAAAGACTATCAATAAGATTAGTCGTTATTAAATAATTCTAATTTTACTGCTAATTGGTGAAAGTCCAGAAACTTTTAATGTCCTAGCAACATGTTTTTTTTTTCCACCAGAATTGTTGGCACCTGAATGGCTAAGTCTTTACCATAAAACAAGATCGCAAGCCAGAAAGTAACAGATGAAATAATAAAGACTGGATCATTTTGTTAGATTTTACACAGTTTCATGTACAGAAGGCTATAGGTAAGGATGAAGTCATACAGTGTAATAGATATGCATATTTGTCACAGAAACTCAGTAATGCTCTTCTTTCTTGTGTTGTAAAAACTAGGAAAAGATGCTGTATCAAGAGTGGAATACTTTCTTCGGATAGGAACCGTTGTATTTCTATTTTTTTGTTTCTAGTACTATGACTGCCACAGAGTATTTAATAAGTGTTTCTGAATTAATATAGAAAGGATGAAATTATGTAGAGTGGTATTCCATATGAGGCCCAGAAACTCAGCAATTTCTTTTTCTTAGGTAATAAAAACAAGGTGAGGAGAACTTTCTACTGATAAAACCTTAAAATAACTTTCCTAAGGGTAAAGACCATCCCTTCCTCATTTTTAATCTGTTCAACACTTAGCATGTAGTGTTTGTTGAGTACATTCTCTCAACCAAGAATAGTTATAGCTGAGCATAGTTAAAAATGAAGAGGAAATAAAAGCTTTGAAGAATATGCTCTCTGCAAAAAACCTGCTGCTGTTTTACCTGAGACTAAAAAATAATCCCTAGGGTCATAATTATAGCTACCATTTATTGAATACCCACTATGTACCATAGACTTTGCAAGGTGCTTTTTATAGGCACTTTTTATAGTTGATCTCAAAGTTTCACATTAATTTGCAAGAAATAGGTGATTTTATAGATAATGAAGCTTAAGAAAAGTTAGATACTTGTCTGAAGTCATGTAGTTAATAAGTGAGTGATTAAGCTGGGATTCAGTCCTGAAGACTGTTTAACTCCCAAAGCCCATATACTTTCCACTGTGCCAAAATAACCCAACAATTACATAGGGTGCTTACTATGTGTCAGGAAGTGTGGCAAATTTGAGGAAAACCAGAATAAATAATGTATAATGCCTTACCACAAGGAGTTTGCAGCTTGGTTTGGAGAGGAATTATTAAGTGGTGTAAGTAAATTACAAATAAAATGGTATGGAAACAGTTCGTTTGGCTGAGGGAAATAGGACGATTATTCCCTCCAAAGTTTTTTAGCTAAGCCTTGAAAAACAATGGGGGCAGAGTAGGGCATGTATTCAGTAATGGTTAGTGTCCAATGTGCTGAAACCTGATAAGCATAAAAGTATTCTGAGACAAAACTGTAGGCTGATTAAAGCCAGGCTGTGAAAAACCTGGAGTTTCAATCTCTCACTATGTGTGTTCAAGTTAAAATAATCTCTTTTCTAGGTTTTTGTGACCTCCCATTCTCTAATATTTTCCAAGTTAAATCCATTTTACACATTATAGTCAGAGTCAACTTCTGAAAATGGAATGTACAGATTCCCCCGCTCAAAAACTCCTGCAGCTTTCCATATAATACAGAATTAAGTTGATCAAATCAAGCCTATAATTGAAGGTCTATTTTCTGACCTCAGTAATTCATTTCAATCTTGTTTTCTGTGTTATATTTTACTTATCTTTATTAGTCTGCCACTGCTAGTTGCCACAAAAATACGTGTGCTATAATAGAGATATTGAAGAAGGACGTAAGTCTAATTGACCATTCTAGGCTCTCAGCTTCTTTTGGGTAGGCTCTAAGCTTAGCATTATATTATATAGAAACTATTACTCAATAAATTTTTGTTTTATTACTATATACATGGTTGAGATCAGAGAGGTGTAGGTTTATGTGGTAAGACAGATTTATTTTAAACATGCTAAAGTATTCATAGGACACCAAATGAAGAAATATGGTCTTAAAAGTTAGGGGAAGGTCACAAATTTGGAAATCACCCATCTAGAGACAGTGGGTCAAATGAGGAGAGTAATTGAGCTTACCTAGTGAGTACACAGAAGAGAGGTACTTGGATAAGAAAAAAGAAGGCTGGGCGTGGTGGCTCAAGCCTGTAATCCTAGCACTTTGTGGGGGGCCAAGGTGAAGGGATTGCCTGAGCTCATGGATTCGAGACCAACCTGGGCAACTTGGCGAGACCTCGTTTCTACAATAAATCAAAAAATTAGCTGGGCATGGTAGCATATGCCTGTAGTTCCGGCTACTTGGAAGACTGAGGCGGAAGGATCGCCTGAGCCCAGCCGGTTGACACGGGGTGGCCATGAACATGTGCACTGCATTCCAGCCTGGGTGACTGAGTTCCAACTCAAAAAGAAAAAAAAAAAGATAGAAGAAGAAGAAGAAGAACAACAACATCTAAGGGTAGAATGAGAAGGAAAAGCCTGAGGTTAGAAGGTAGATATAGAACTAGAGCAGGGAAAGTTTAGTATCATTGAAGCCAAGAGAAAGATTTGAAGGATCCATTATTCTGTTGTGATGGACTACAATATGAACCTATCTAAAAGCTAATTTTAAAGGCATAATATAAATACAACTGCAGGACCTAGCACAGAATCCTGAAGACAGGGTATAAATAAATAAAGGTTGATGATTGTTGATGATGATAAATTCCCATCTGTCCATTGAGCATGCAAATTTTTTCCAGAGTGCTATTATAATTTAAAATGTGATGACGTAAATGTTACCTTATTTTACACATACCCTAGAAATGTAGAAGAATAAGGAATGAAAAGGGAAATAGAAAATGTATTGCTTATCAAATTGCTTCAATAAAATTGTTGTTGGGCCGGGCTTGGTGGCTCAGCCTGTAATCCTGCGCTTTGGGAGGCCGAGGTGAGTGGAATGCCTGAGCCCGCGGGTTCGAGACCCACCTGGGCAACTTGGCGAGACCTCATCTCTACAATAAATCAAAAAAATTAGCTGGGCATGGTAACACGTGCCTGTAGTTCCGGCTACTTGGAAGGCTGAGGCGGAAGGATCGCCGGAGCCCAGCAGGTTGAGGCTGCGGTGGCTGGGAGCGGCCACTGTACTCCAGTCTGGGTGACAGAGTGAGACTCCAACTCAAAAAAAAGAAAGTATATATATAAAAAAAATTGTTGATGCATATCTTCTAATCTGGCTGCAAATTCTATATATCTGGGGTGCCAAAAAAATTTATACACATTTTAAGAGATCTTATCTGTGTATTACTTTTAGTTCACTGTAATCAGAAGTGTCTGGACCCTATTGGTAACCACATTGCAGAAGTCAAATGTGACTTGTATTCATCTTTTGTTATTGGTATATATTGTTTTATAATTTTAATACAGATTTTTCTTTCTTAAAATGTGTATACTTTTTTGGCATCATCTGTATACATAAAGCAGCAATATTCTAATAGGTGTTATCAAAAGTAACCCATGAGTTTAAATTAATGAGTAATACCTTCAACATTACTGTGTTTTTCTTGCCCAATATAAAACTAATATGACAGTATGAAGCTGGCTAAATAAATTGCAGTACATCTATACAGTAGATTACTATGTAGCTATTAAAAAGAAAGATGAAGCTCTGTGGGTGCTGACATGGATTAGTCTCCAAGATATATTGTTGATTAAAAAAAGCAAAGCTCCGCGCCTTGGGAGGCTGAGGTGAGTGAATCGCCTGAGCCCGTGGGTTCAAGACCCACCTGGGCAACTTGGCGAGACCTCATCTCTACAATAAATCAAAAATTAGCCGGG